CAGGGAGATGCCAACAATCTGCACGGCATGGAAGTTGACTCATTCGTCTATTTATTGATGAAGAAGCTGGCTTTCTAATATAACACATAGATGTCATCGTTTGATACACACAACGTAGACAGCTGTACAGCCATGCAACATTCCAGCACCCTGTTTTCATTTTCAAAGCATAATATTGGCGGCTGTAAATCGGCATAACCATTTCTCTGTATGTACATGTATTGCGAAACTTATCCCAAAAAATTGGATATGAACAATGATTATGTTGTCATGGCAATACTACACTGCCATTTTCAAGTTGATTATTTTGTCTTATTGCGGAAAGAAAAATTTACTTTTTAATAAAAATATATATTTAAACCATTTCATGTTTTTGCATTTGCTTGGTAATCCACCACTTCCCTCAGATGGAGGAGTGCTTGACAGTTGTGTGTTCTTTTTAAGCTGTTGTCTTTGTCCAATCTGCTCAGTGACATCACCAAAGTGTCATCAATATTTAATATATCTTGGAGAAGTTGTTCAAAGATTGATTTGGCTTAACAGGAATGCTGCTGATTGGTCAATATCTCAAGTGATAATTATTCACAACATTGTGGTTTGGTGTTGTGCTGTAGAATCCTTTATTTTTGCTGACAAATAATTTTTTTTATACTGTGTCTATGAAAATTCCAAGCAAGAATAGAGTAATCTACAGTGCCAAATATTACTGACAGTGTACCAGCATCTTGTGTTAATTTCCCAAAGGAATATCTCATATTTACATGTTATGGCAAATTCCCTCTCTATTAAGTTCCCCAAGTCTTGCCAGAATTATACCCAGTAACTCCCATAGGCAATAATATGAACACCTATTTCACACATATAGCCATCAAGTCCTGCATCCAGAGATTAACAAAAATTGGAAAGAGTACCATCTGTTTTTTAAAATTAAACTACAATGTATTCCTATAAATGTACCAAAATGAAGCTGAATTGACCACACTGACTAAGCTTAGTACATTTACTTGTATCTGGTTGGTTGGCACTAAAATCCTACTCAAAATTCCATCACAACAGGTTGTTCTGATGAGATAATTGCATATGCCAATGCGTCCTTGTATGTGAAACAATTGTATTATAAACCATCAGTTGACCTGACATGGTCACATGACCTTATGGCGTCATACATCCTGGTATACAATTACCGGGTACTTTAAAGACACGCCGAAACTGAAATCAATTGATGTGTTGTCCCTTTGGTTGAGCTGAGAATTAAACCATATTTTCTATATTAGACTTGCATCTCCAATACAAATGCATGTGAACCAAAATTTGCATTTATTGTATACTCAATGAATGGAATTTATTATTTTTATCACATATATGGACATGTCTGTCATTTATGTACTTCCCAAAGAGCAAATAATACAGTATAAGGTTATTTATTCTCATTTAAAGGGTGGTGGCCATCACAAAGCGCATGTTTGAATTTCATATAAATAGTGTACTTTACATGTGTTGCATACACCGCTATGAGTCTTATATCGAACAGGACATTGCGCGACGCCCACCTCCCTTTAAATTCTGGTGACCCCAATTTCTAATGTTATATGAACTCATGATAATCTTCGGCTAAAACCTACCTTTTCACCATCACTCTTTCACCCAAAATTTCTGCACTTTTTTCTTGTATCTTTTCCATAATTTTGAGGCCAACAGACAGAATTTAAGTCAATTTTCAATTTCTACTTAAAAAATTTGGCTATTTATGTCCCAATCTTCTGAAGGAAGTGGAGACTATGAACAGGACTATTTTGTGAATTTGTGATGAAAAGAGGTAGTGAACTGCTGGTGGGTTCGTGCAACATCAAACACAATGTGGCACAACACAACCAGACCTTCAATGCACCAACCTACAGATGTTGTGTTGCATATTTTGATATTTGTGAAATACATTGTTTAAATGAATGACAAATCAAGAAATCTCAAGTTCAAGGCCATATTTGTATAGATTTGGATGGTTATTATTACAGTCTTCATTGATAAAGATGATACCAATCTAAATGTATGATCAAACTGACATGAAATTGTAGCTGACCCCTGACCCTAGTAGCAATGCATTGTGGTTACTTATGTGACTGAAATTCAAATTTGTAGATGTGCATGCTGACAACAAATGCCATACTTGCTGTGAAGGGACTACTCAGTCTCATTGAAGGGATTGTTACGACCAATGATATGAGAATGCAATTTCTTTAAATTTATACCAGAGACTGGCAACTTTAATGCTAGAAACTTACCAGCCCTGCATAATAGATTACTGTAAAATACTTTATTGTAACTGGAATTAATTTTTGCTAAAACCATTTTTTGGATGTTTTGTTTGGAGTTTATTTTCACTAATTTTTGATGAGTTGAATGTAAAATATGGAAATAAAGGTATATTTGCTGATTCATCCCTTCAGCGAAAATAGCAAAAATAATTCTAAGTGAAAATAAAGTTTTGTACAGTATTTTCAAATACCTCTATCCCATACCATAAAAGCACAGCACTTTATTCTCAGGGGACAATGATCATAACATTCTGAATGTCAGTGTTTCCATGGCAATCACTTTTATCCGAGTAGTCTAGCTGATTTATATTCTTTCAGAAAGATTGAGAATCTACAGCAGCAGCTACACATAAAAAGTGATTTAAATTTTTTTTCACAGCCATTTTATCAGCCATCGGTGGGAGGACTAAGTTCAAATTTATTAATTTGAATTGTAGGAAGCGTGAAAAAAATATTATCAGGCAATCGGTATGCAAGTTGTAATGTTGCCGGTCACTGGTAGCAAATAGTGGTTGTCGCATCAGACTCATGATTGGTAGACCCAAGTTCAAATCTTACCCAAGGCTGAACATCAAAAGGGTCGACTCCTACTCTGGGTGAATGTGCCACAGACTCAATTCCACTGACCGAGATTCATTCACTAACGAATGCGACTTTGGGGGAACCTTGGTTAAGGTCCGCAGGTGCTTGTGCTGGACAGAGTCTGGTTGACACTAGGATAGCGCATTAAAATTACCATTTGATAGGGAGATTGCCACACAGCCCTCTCATGTAGTCCCAAACAGGAAATGACTTCTGTGGCAAAATGCACTATGTATCAGCACTAGCACTTGCAATTTGCACTTACAAAATAGAAAAAGGTCAGGAGACAACAAAAACTTTTTTTTTTTTTAAAGTTGTAATGTTTGTACCAGACCGATTGGAAATGTCACAGGGTTTCAGACGGGCAAACAATTTCAAATACTGATTCACTGAAATTTCATGATTCTGCCTCTGAATTAGGAATAATTGTCTTTCACATTTACAGTATATTAAACTCAGTTGCACAAGTTCAATCAGTGTTAAAAATAACAAAATATAAGTTTATTTACATTATAAATATACATACAAAGTTGCAAATAGTTAAAATATTACTTGTCACATTCCATCATCAATTTTACATATAACATATGATAACACATCATATTAATCATGTTTTTAAAATGAGTGAAAAGTTACCCCGAAAAGCTCTTAAAAAGCATAGAATAGATGTTTGATTGGTTAAATATTTTTTTGTACACTTGTGCAAGTACAAAATTATAGAAAAAACAGGTCAATGCAAGTTGCTGAAACAATTCTTGAGCTTGCCTTTTTATCACAAGGAAATACCAGCAAGATTGGGGAAAAGTACCTTCATGGTAGTCGATACAACACAGTTTTATGCACTATATAATCCTGGTGACAAACTCATAAATTACACACCTTATATAATTAAGACAGAAATGAGGATGGACGGATAATGCTGCAACTAAACTACTCACATCTTACATTTTGAAGAATGCCACTTTATAATTGGTTGGAATCAGAAGTCATCAAGGCACATTGACCAGTGCCGGTAAAAGTCAACAGGTGAATCCATATTGGAATGTTCCATTTAATGATGCAGGGGTGGTACATACTCAATCAGAGTCGTTATCATCTTGAGAATTTATCTTCTTATCAAACTGGTCCAACTGTTGCATAGCGTCAGATACTTCCTCTTCTTGTTCATCTCCATATTCACTGCAATGTGAACGAAAAAAGCAATGTTCTTTAACGTGAATTTCCAGTTGAAAAAGATGATTTTTCAGAGAAAATGGATTGAAATAGAGATGGCATGTGTGTGTTTCAAAAACTAAAATACGACTGTGACATAGTTTTTCAACTCTCCAAATACCTGCAAAAAATATTACGCTATAGCCAAAGATAATTTGCATGCTCATTATTCTTGCTTTGACAGAATAGTGTGCAAATTTTCAGAGGCTGGTACGAGTTAGTTGAAAGATGATAGCAGTTTTATTTCAGAGCTGGAAACTCATTAATGTTCGGTGCACTGCGACCTTGGGCATTTGGATCGTTCAAATGCTATCAATTCTGGAACCCCCAACTGATACAGCCCATGGAAGGTATTAACATTAGTACCTTCCATGTACAGCTCGACTTTGATTTGAAGCATTCCCCTTCAACATGGGAGGCACTAAATAAACACAATTCTATCTATAACAAGGAGTTAATCTGATCATTAAATTATCACACAAGCTATCACTATATGTGATAATAATTTTCTAACTATACATGACTTAGAAGTGCATACACTTAGATTACTGAGGTGTATCTATATGATCACATTAAGTAATACTGTAAAATGACTAATTTTCACTGGGTTTAAATTTCACTGATTTCCCATTACAGGCATATTCAGTGGGTTTTAAATTCACAGTTTCGTCATTTAGATAATGTGTTCTATGCTAAATTTTACATATTCGCTGGGTTTTAATTTAGCGCATTTTCCAGTCAGCGAAATAAGCTAAATTAAAACCCAGTGAATAATTTCCCCCTTTACAGTATTGTAATGATTTAGTATGGAACAAAGATTTGGGGTTTATATACTGTGGAATACTTTATTTTCGCTGGAATTAATATTCGCAGAAAATGCTTTTTGGGCGTTTTGTATGGAATTTATTTTCACTGATTTTTGATGAGTTTAATGTGAAATATAGGAAAAAAAGTATATTCGCTGGATTTTATTTTCACGGAATCATCACTTCAGCAAAAATAGCGAAAATAAATTCCAAGTATTCTACAGTATTTGTTTTTATTGGAGATGCGCTTCTAATAGAGCAAATATAGTATATGGTAGTTGTCCCAGACCAGTAATTAAGTTCTAAGAGTGCTCTTGGAGTGAAACTATTAGAGTCTGACAGTCCATGGACATTGTAGGCCTAGGTATTTTAACAATCCAGCATAGAATAAATACATTTTTTGGCTTTCTGTGCACTTCTATAGCATATGTAAAATCATTTATTTCTACTATTTTGATGTTTTCAGCAATATAAATTGGTTACAAGTTTACGATTACGCAAAAGAACAAAGAGTTAAATGTTATTTTACATGTTCACGTGGAGTGCGTTCGCGTCGTCGCCTCAGGTGACGCAGGGCGCCTCAAGTCTGCCAAGTTTTGGTTTGACCGATATGTGACGTCACAACTGAGGCGACTCAGGGCAGTTTTTACCGACCCTGCTCGCAGTGCCGGGGACGTTCAGAAAAAAGATAGCGAACGACGAAATCGATTGGTAAAAAGGTGTTTTGGTAATTGTCTCAGATATAAAATGCAACTGGGCATGTTTTTAAAATAAATTTCATACATTTGACATGAGTTTCACTCGCATAGCAATGAACCAATACGATCTTGTGAAACTACTTTCCCGGATTACGTTCGTGTAATCTACTTCCTTGGGGCACCCCGAGGGAGCGACGTGAACAGACTCATGAATTTAATCAAGCGAATTTTACCCATCAATGAAAATAGCAAAATTAAAAAAATAAATAACAGGAATAATTAATGAGACAACAGTATGTGTGAAACTTGATAAGCTGGTGCAAAAACTATATGTTCAAATTTCAATACTTTTCACCTGTATTCTACAATGAAATTAAATCATATCGACACGACTTTTTGTAGTCAAGGATTATAGCCAGAAAATAGTATAACATCTTTATTGAAATGAAACCACAGAATTACAATCAATTTTTATTGATTATTTCTGGTTATTTTGTAATTTATGGGTTATTTTTCAATCAAAATAGGACATGTTTGTAGAAATTTTGCCTCTCTAATGAGATTTTGTTTGAAATGTGGAGTTCCTGCCTGAAATATCAGGTATAGACAGGTGACTAGATAAACACCCGTTACAGATAATTTCAATTCCTTAATACATTATTGTTGTTATGTGAGTCATTTAATCAAATCATAATTCTATGATTATGACACCCAGTCAGTCATGTTTACTTGCTCACAAACTGGACTGACATATTTGGCAATATTCACATCGCTAACCGATCCCAATCACTGTTTGTGAATAGTTTTAATTGCTTAGATACCACTTCTAATACTTTAATTGTTACCAGTCTGTGAACCAAACCAGTCTGTCTTGTTTCTACTTGATCTTAAACTAGAAAAACACAATTAAAACACAAACAATTTGGCTGGGTGCCATATTGCCAATAATGGAGCGGTGCACGGAACCCAAAATCAAGAAGTATTTGTAAATCAATCAATCATGATTGCATAGTCATGATGTGTGTCATATAGAGTTAGACAGGAATGCAAAAACCAATCACAATCCACAGTTGGTTACATTGCAACTCTAGCCCTCACCATGGAATTTATTAAAAATCAATAATTATTTATAGAACATTATAACACTGAACACCCTGTACCTCAACAATGACTGCATGTAAACCATAGCTTTCTGAGAGTGCTTATAAGAATAACTTATGTAAAACTCGCCAAAAGATAAAATTCCTCCCATAAAATTAATTCTTGCAGGATAATTAATTTCTAAAATTTCTCTAGCTGTGAGATCTTCGGTGAAAATCTGTGAAAATACAACAATTTATTATTTAATGCCAAAATAGGTATATGACTACTTGTTCATACATGTTGAATGGATATTACCGGTAGTTAACTATATGAGGTTATCAAGAGAATACCGCAAAGAATGCACAAAGTCAGTACAGTGATTTTATCGACCGGTACATAACAGAGGTCGTTGTGATCCTGCACTGCCTTTGTGTGTACAGTGACATGTTCTCATGAAAACTTTATTATATTATATTTTTTCTCAGAAAACTGGTTTGAATGCAATGTCAATAATTTGGAATGCGTGCAATATTGATGACAATACCAAATAAGGAAATTTTGAATATTCAAGTGGTGGAAATACATTTTCAAAAAATGCAAATACAGCTTTTTTATGAAATATTAAGTTTTATTTTTTTCGGTGCTAGGCATTACATGTATAATAGTCAAGATTGTACTGAAAGGTAGGTTTTTCTGTAAATAAGTCAAATATTGTATAGAGCACAAAGATTTTGTGAGTTATGTTAATTGAAGAAGAGACCCACTCCGTAAAGTCATGCAAAAAATATGAAGAGCAAGGAAAGTTAGATTTCAACAATCAAAATTAATCCCAAATTCAGTGTTTTGACGAAAAAACAACAAATTAGTTGAGACCATAATGCTGTACATTTATGCGTGTGTTATGTCAATAAAATATTAATTTTATTGTAAGCATCCTGGGCTTATAATGAAATCTTTATGATCAAATAGGTCAGCTTGGTGACTACTTGGCAGGAAAAAAAAAAAAGATAAATATTGTACATGAGTGAGGGAACAACTCACGATGGTCTAATCCCAGCACACATTCCCAGGGAATACCTGTTGTTGATAACAAACTAAAATGCTGTAGCTTCTGATTTCCTTCATGTTCTCTTCTTATTTTATTTATAAATGATGAATTTCACAGTAAGATCATTTTTAAGATTATTTTGTCAATGTATGATTTTCTGGCTCAATGATACATCAGGGAATTAGCAGAATTAGCATCATGAACAATCTCTGTGCCTCTGTGGTGTCAAATTAGCTATAAAGATGGCACACTGGTGACAATGTTGGGAGTGCTGAAGCACCAATTTGATAACATGGGTTTTATATACCATACAAATATTTTTGTTGTATACTGAAACATTAAAATATTACTTATTTTTACTAATACATGTAAAAACACTTCAGTCTGTAATTTATGTACTGTAAAACCACTTATTTTCATTTAATTTCACTATTTTGAGCATATTCAATGTGTTTTAATTTCACAATGAGTTTTATTGTTATTTTACATGTTCACATAGATTTAATTTAGCAAAAATAGAGAAATTAAAACCTAGTGAATAATTAATGCATTTACAGTAAGCAACTAATAGAGCACTATTGTCCTTGTATTAGTACTGTTACAGTATTTTTTCTATAAGTAGCATATGCACCTACATAGATTATACAGGTGATTCTTAAATGATTAAAATAGGTGATATTTTAGTGATTTAGTATATAGCATATGTGATTTTTGGTTTATATGTGATTTTATCAGAGATGGACTTCCAATAGAGCAAATATGGTATTGTGGTTCAATATTATGGATTAATCACAATACAAACTGAGTTCTGATTGGTGTTCCAAATGACAGCACAAATTAACATGCCAATTTAGAGAGCTCGAAGGGTTATAGCCGGTTATAGAGAGTAGCGCGGGTGGAACACAACCATGTATATAATAACCTTCAGTGGGAGGTATTGTCTTATGCTAAGTTATCTCAAACTACAGTATGCAAGTTTGGAAAAGATCCAAAAATATCGCAGAAAAAACCCATTGTTTGAACATTACAAGTTGTATTGATGGTACTCATTGTTGAAAAAAAAGGGGAAGAAGAAAGAACGAAGAAAAGCTACTGCCGAAACTTTATTCTAATATCATGCCCAAACGTGTTCTCCTTCTTGAGATGCATGAAATTGCTTTGTCAGCAAATAAACTGAACCCTTTTGGGTGAATGAACGTACGTCAGTTTAGAAATTAAACCACTTGTGCGTTACAGATTATGTGCGCAAGTATGCGTATGGTAGATGAGAAATAAATTAACAGGATTGACACAAACATGTTGACAATTTGAAATATCTCACATATATTTATACACGATGTG